ATGAAGCTCATAAAACACAAAATTAACAGTCGATTCCATTCAGACTTGGTACATCTCAATATTTCTATCAAAACAAGATCTTTTATGAAGATGGTAGAGATCGGACCATATCTGCTACCTCCCCCACATAGGCTTCAAGATTTTGATAAACAAAACGCTCAAAGACTCTCTCCTTAAATTTCCCACGTACAAACAGTTTGCTAACAACCCCTTCTGGTACCTCACCCACAAAGGATCATAATTTCCAATACTTTTATCTGTCATAACATGCGTAACAAGTCGGCGATTCTTTACAACTTGCTATACATAATATACCGAAATTTATGATTTCGCATAAAATTGTATATAAATGTTAGATTTCCTTCAAATTATGCACTTCGATCCGCTATATCTGTTACCTGACGCATATTTCCAAATTTTCCCAAAATTTGTACATATCTCATATAAATTAAAGGAAGTAGTCGATATGGTCCAAAATTTGTCACGTTGAAAATATATTGGCTAACTGTTTCGGAACCTCCCTCCCACATAGAGTCGACGGTTTGAATAATCATAAGTCAAGGTCGGTAAAACCTACTCGTTTTTTTCAAACTTTCGTTGTTCTCTACATTTCTGCCATTCACAGATCTATTGTGACCGCCCCCTCCCTACCAAATGGAACATACTTGTATTTTTGCCCATATTTGAGCAAGCCTTAAAATGAAATATATGAGACCACTCCAAATCCAATATGAAATTACGGCTGATTTGTTTCCCCACAAAAATTTTGCACAAAACATAAATGTGAAAATGGACAACATCGGAATTTTCCTTTTTGCACCCTCTCCATGGAATTTTCAAAAAAAATTATAAAATATCTCACAGAAAAAGAATTGACTACCCGTCAGGAGCGAAAAACTATAATTCTCATAATCCAATCTTAAATGTCGAGTTTCTTAATCCTTCTACTCTTCTTGAGTCAATTTGACCAAATTTAATTTTTTAACCAGAAAATTTGCCAAAAAACCAAAAAATTTAATTTGTCCTTTGAAGGGTCAAAAATTATTAAAAACGAGTAAGCAGACGTGCAGGGCCGACTATATGATACCCCACAACACTACAATATGTTAAAAGCCCCCTTATGTCGAAATCCATTTTGGAAGATTTCGCTTTTGAAATTATGTCATAGAGCACTGACCAGATATTACCCTTAGCTTTCTGACCAGGGACATTTGGCCAATATTTACGCACTCCGTCGTGCTGCTAGTTGTTGTGGTCCATTTCCTATTCTCATGTGGTCCCTGTCCTATTTTCATATAAAATTCCGTTTTGTTTAGTTTTAATTGTGTGATCAGGAAAAATGATGTGTTTTTGGTTCATTTGAACCCCTAAATATTTTGCAATCATCTCCAAAAGCAAAAGGCCCCTCTGTATCTCGAAATTTAGACTTATCTATATGATTGGTTTGTCTATGATATTTGACTACATTCGTCAACGAAATCAGCACAAAAACCCAGAAATTCGCCTTTTGTGTATTTTAGATTTCGCCTGTAAATTATTTTGAGCGTTTCGAATTTCAGAATGGAAATGTTGGTATTTTTTTTCGAACAAATGTAGTGGTTCATTCTAAGCATATTTCGTGTCCTTTGTTTTCTATTTGTGACCTTTATAACGGCTGCAATATCGGAAACTTTTTTAGTTGTCGGTCCATTTCAACCCCTGAATATATTGCGAACATCTTTATCAAAAACAATAGGCCTAGCCCATCTGAACCTAATCCTTTTTTGTGAGGATCGAACGATAATTGCATTCTGTGTTGTAAGGTGGAAAATATTATAAAAATTGCACTTCAATATTATAAGTGAAATTGAAAAAATCGCATGCGATAAAAAAAGATATGAAAATAATAATAAAATATTACGAAATACTACAAAATCTATGTTAACATCATTATTACTATCCTTTTATGCGATTTTTTAGACTTTATTCTTTTATGCCAAGAGGGCATTCTGAATTGACAAAATTTGTCAAAATCGGCCCAGCCATTCTTGAGATATAAGCATTCTAACTCACATCCCTTTCCTTGGTATATACACATTGTATATATTTCGCTATATATATCTGATATATTTACTATCGGCATATACATAACGGTCAGAATTGACCTTTTCGTATATTTGTGATTTCGCCGGGATTATAAATTTTCGCGGATTAATGGAAATTTTAACTTTTATTTAACCCAAATGTTATGATCTATTTCACCCACTAAATATTGCAAGATGACCATAGAAACTGGAAGGCTACTGTCCAGCCGCAAGCTCTAGCTCCAGCAACTGCAAAATAAGTCAATTTTTAAATTGTTGGTCCATTTCAACCCCTAAATATTATGCGATCATCTCCAAAAGCAAAAATATATTCTGACCATAATCCCACCTCCCGAAAAAATTTCGTGATTTCAAATTAACATGGACAGACGACTTAGCTCGGCGATATAAGAAGATCCCTATATACTTTCCTATGTGGGAAACCAATATTTCGAGGTGTTATATAATTTTTTGTCCAATCAAACTTATAATACCCAAACACATGGCGTTGTGGGGTATAACAATTTGAAATTACCCTCCCCCTTCCATAGTTTTTCCAGTCAAATATTATAGTTTTTATTGGATATTTTTAATTCAAAATCTGATATTTGAAAAGTTGGTAAAAATGAGAATTTCTCAGGGTAATGTATTGAAAATTGTTTAATGATGGTATGGTGTTTGCATAAAAAATATTATTAGCGGCCTTCAGTATTGAATGAGGAAGAGATGACAAGTTTGATGACAGTAACGAAGGAGATTATTATCAAACAATAGCTTTGACAAAATAGAAGAAGACGATGTAGTGGAAATAGATGACACCAACTCAGTTACATATTCGCCTAAAGACGAAAGTGTAGCTTGTAGAAAAAACTTCGAACCAGTTGGTTGTCCAATATTTGTTGAATAAGTCTAGACCTACCAAAAAACAATGGTTATTGTTAGAGGTATGAAGCCTTCATTCGATATAATATATATAGAAATTATTGGCATACAAGCTGATATAAATCTTGGCTGGAATTCTAATAAAAACATTAGACCCAGGCTTTATTTAGTAGAATTTGCAAGTCAGCTAATAAACCAGCTTATTTTGTGAAGAAAACTTTTGCCGCAAGAGTCCTCAGCAAGAAATAGGGTTAACATTATTCAACACACAAAATGATCCCATAGATGATTCACAATGTTCATTACCGATTAATTTTTTAAATAAAAGACGGCGTTGTTTTCCCAGTCCACCTGGAAGGAACTCATGTAAGCATTCCACGAAGTGTAATCCCAGTACAAACTTTATATTTCATAATTTAAAAAAGGGATTACAATTTTAATATGTTCTCTTTTTATACCCTACACCACATAGTGGTAAGTGGTAAGGATATTATGTCTTTGTACATTTGTTTGTAACATGGAGATGGCAGCGAGATAGACTCTTTGTTACTTTTGAAGATCTTGGTGAGAATTTGTGAGAATCGGTTCAAATTTCAATATAGCTCCCATTTATATCTTTAACCAATTCGGGTTAATTGTGCACCAAATGGCCAGTATCAGTCCAAATGGACTGCATTTTGGGCAATTCCGACGGAATTCAGCCTAAAAGCAAGTGCTTCAAATTTGGTGAAAATCGATTTAGATAGAGCTACAGCTCCCGTATGTATGACTTTTTCCATTTGGTTTTACTGCTCGAAAATACTTCTGCCAATTTTTATCCCCATGAAATTGAAAATAGAGGTGTGGTTAGGGTCAGATTAGAAGCCTATTGTTTTTGGAGATGATCGCAAAATATTTAGGGGTTGAAATGACCAGAAACAGAAAAATTTTCTGATTTTGCATTTGCTCTACAGGCCACAATTATAGACCAATCGACACGAAATTTATCATGGAGTTAGCTGGGCAGGAGCCTACCAATTTGGATGATCATGGAAAGTGCCCCCCTTGCCAGTAAAAGATAAAACCAATTTTAAATCGCGGAAAAAATATTCCAATAAAAAAGTTAATATTTTTTGTTAAATTTTTGTCATATTTTTTACCTCATGCATCCAAGCTTTCCTTTTCCTGAAATTCTGACCTACCTTATTAAATTAATCCATAATGAAGAAAAACCTAAATTTAGATCTAGAGCAAATTTCCGACATTGAACCACCTCCGCCATACATGTGAAATGAAACATGTGTAAGTTTTAAAGATAAATACAAATGTATTTCCTATATAAATATAGAAGAAAACTTTAACAAGTAGCCCAGGACGAGGGCACGCACCGACCATGCAAAGAAAATAATAATAAACAAGAAAAATACTTTCAAATAAACGTCATTATGTTTTGTGGGTGAAAAGACCTTGAGGATACTTCATCTCATGTATGAGATAGAGGCTAAGGAATCTGTCGGCGTGGGTGAATGAGTGAGTGGCTTACAGAAAGGCCACATGTCAAGTAGACAGTTGATGTTGATGATGATGATGCGAATAAGTACCTCCTCCGTTCCGTTTTTCGCTCAATGTTAAAATAATACCCAACACAGGCAAGGGACAGAAAAAATATAGGCTAGTCTATTATCCCACATAAGTAACATTATTAAATTTGAAGAATACGAAAAAAAGTGAAACGAAACGAAACAAAACCTACACATACTTCAGCCACACAACGACAAGGACGAGGACGATGTCGACAGGAACAGGAAGAGCCAAAAGCAAAAAATCGCATAATCAGCACCGAAAAGTCTTAAAGTAAAAATAACAAACGAAATTTCTCTTCAAACGAGAGGACCAAAGAGTTTACTTAAATGTGTGTGTATGTATGCATGTACGAATGGCCATATTCAACGGGAAGAGCCGGGAAGCAGGTTGCTGTGAGTGGCAGGATTCCCACTCCTTAACCAAACTATGTTAAATGCTTGCTAGGAATTTCATAATAAAAAAGTTGTTCTTAAACTAGAGGATGATATTTACTTGTTTTATTTCCGGATGAGGAAACATATGCGAGCCAAAATAGAACAGATCCAGATGATTCCAGGATTATAGCAACAATATTGAGGGGAAATTTTTTAATTAGATTAACACACAACAATAGAAATTGTACACACAAAAATTCGAAATATTTTTTTATTACAACTTATTTTTTTTTTTTGTACTTTTTTATTTTGTTAGCAAATTTTCCAAATATTACTTTGATGGAATATTTTTTATTTCTACTTTTTTTCAACACTAATTTTTTGCAAGTTGTTTTGCCTTCGATTTTTTTTTAAATATTTGTGTTAATTGTAAATGCCACAATTTTAATTTAAACACTCAACGTTGGGAGCAAATAACAAAAAACCGCCTCGATTAACCGCTTTCATAAAGACGACAGACAGACAGACAGACATTCATCGCTTATTATTTTCCCAAAATAATGTAGGTAACCATTGTGACCGAGTATTTTCATCCGCACACAGAGCGACGCCTTATTGCACAGCACACTGAACACAACACGTACCGTTAAATACAACGTTCGCAAGACATCTACTGACGAAACTACAACTACTTTTGGCCACATCTCGCAAAATCGTAGTAACAACACCGAAAACGTTAACGAGCCACAACAACAATTCATGTGTCGGTGGTTCGCTCGCTCGCTGGCTGGCTGACACGAAACATTTGCGAGCATCCTCTGTTCGAAAAGTCGAAATTAAAAAAATTTAAATTTTCGATTTATTAATAAAAGAGAAGGAATTATAAAGTGCTCTCTCAAAGAAAATGAGAAACATTTATACACGAAGACTAAGTCCATCACAACAAGCCAACAAAATATATTAGACCATCGTTGAAAACAGTCATTACGAAGCATAACCCAAAACATAACATATGCTCAAGTTCTCTCGACATTTCTCTCTCTCTCCCTCTCTTTCGTACGAGGAGTGTATTGGTATTTCAATGAGAAATTCCATTACTCTTCGAATTGCATGACCGTTATTCGAATCCGATTTTTTTGCACAACAAAAAAATAGCGGTTAAGTATGGTCATGGTTTTGCGTTTTTCTCTCTCAACTCTCTGTAATAAGAGAAATACTCTTTTAAAAAGAAGTATTTAAGAGATTTCTTAACGAAACTTATTGAGTATAACAGTTAGCTAAGTTGGGGAGAGCAGCAGAGAGTAATTAACTAAATTCACCCAAATTCATAAATTTAACATCGAATTGCTGTTGCTGCTATTTAATGTGACTAATTATGCAAAAAAAAAATCTAATTTACCAAAATAAACACAGGAACGATGAAAATAACAACAAGTAAGCTAAAACAATCTTCCGCAAATATAATGAAATACACATGCATGTATCCATACATGGAAAGTGTTACGTTAATTGCTTACTCCCATGTGTGAATGATGAGAAGGGAAGCAAGGGATGGGATTTCTTGGAATTTCTTAAATGTGCACACATGCATACCCACGAATTGTAAACTAAATTTACTTAAAGATGTTTGGGTGTTATTTTTAATAGAAATCCAAATGAGGAAGTTCTCAAGCTGATTTAGCGGATAATATATTTTAACACGGGGAAACCCAGGGATTTTATTGAGAAAAAAACGCAAAATTTTTTGGAATAATTAAAATAAATATTGGAAGAAGTAAAAAATTGAACAAGATGGGAGTGAGTACAATTAACCAGCAAAACAAGTAAAAAGTATTAGTCGGTATTGCCGACAGATATATACCCTCAGCCTACGTTAGATTATTTAAATATATATTGGCTAGTGTTACGATTATTCAAAGGTTTGACCCTCTATGCAGCAGGTTCCGAATGAATGGGTCAATATTGTCCATTTCGTATCGGACCCAAAAATATGATATAAATATTGCGACGTTCCTGGTATGGATTATATCGACTTACACCTTCACCTTATATAAAAAATGTAATGATTGTAGAAATTGTTAAAATGTACGTGATGTACCAGATATAGTCTACCGAAATATTCCATTTTTATATTGGGCAAAATTACAAGAAAGAATATTTATATCCAAATTTTATGCAAAATCATAAATTCCGATAAATTTCATATTCATATCAGGCTTCTTATTGAGAGAAATATTTGGGCATAGCAATTAGTAAAGAATTGCTAAATTGTTTCGAAAGTTATGACAGATAAAATTATTGAAAATTGTGACACTATGTGGGTGAAGTGCCTGAAGGTGTTCGAAGATATATAAACTTCACGACAAATCTTGTGTTAACAAACATTTTTGTATGTTTGAAATTTGCAGAGAGTTGGATGCTTATTTCGCTTTATTTGAGCGTTTTGTTTTTCAAAATCTTGAACGCTATGTATGGGGGAGGTACCAGAAGAAATGGTTCGAGCTATACCATCTTTATAACAGATCTTGTTTTGATAGAAATATTCAGATGTGCCATGTCTAAATGGAATCGGATGTTAATTTGGCGTTTTATGAGCCACATGGGCATTCAAAATTTCGACATTTTGTGGGGGAGGTACCAGAAGGAGTCGACCTATATATTCCATCTTAACACCAGATCTTGGGTTTATAGAAATATTGGGATGTGTGAAATTTTAAGAAGTTTGGATCCTTACATCACATTTTATAAGAGTTATAATTATTCAAAATTTTGACCCTTTGTGGGTGGAGGTACTTGATGGAGTGGACCGATATTGTTCATTTTCGCACCTGACCTAGCACTTAAGCAAATATTAGCATTCGCAAAGTTCGAGCAAAATCGGAACACCCTTTCTCTTTCTGTGCAGAAAATATATTTTTTGCAAATTTCGACCTTTTGTGGGGGAGGTACTTGATGGAGTGAACCGATATTGGCCATTTTTGCACCTGACCTTGCGCTGTTGCAAATATTAGGTTTTGCAAAGATGGGGCAAGATCGGATCATCCTTCCTCTTTCTGTACAGAAAATATATTTTTTTGAAAATTTCGACCTTTTGTGGGGGAGGTACCAGAAGGAGTGGATCGATGTATTCCACCTTCACACCAGACCTTGGGTTAATAAAAATATTGGGATGTGTGAAATTTTAAGACCATCGGACTTTTACTTCACATTTTATAAGAGTTGTTATTATTCAAAATTTTTGACATTTTGTGGGGGAGTTACTTGATAGAGTGGACCGGTATTGTCCATTTTCGCACTTGACCTAGCACTGAGAAAAATATTAGGATTCGCAAAGTTGGAGCAAAATCGGATCATAATTTCTCTTTCTGTGCAGAAATTATAATTTTGGAAATTTTCGACGTTTTATGGGGGAGGTACCAGAAGGAGTGGACCGATATTGCCCATCTCCAAACTCGATCTAAGTTTTAAAAAAATTATTACGATGTAGCAAGTTTGGACCAAATCGGATACTCCCTTCGAGAGGTATCGCGTGCGCCAGCCAGCCAGACAGACAGACGGACAGGCGGACATCGCTAGATCGACTCCAAATGTCCTGACACGGATTTGGTCCAAAGAGACCTAGGGTCTAAAACCGTTATTTCGACTAGGCACGCTTTGACCGTATCACATAATATATGTACCCTCTGTAGCCATATGACTGAGGGTATAACTACTTAGCATAAAGAGTAGCATAAAGCTATAACCAAAGATTTTTACAAAGTATGTTTAGTATTACAGGGGGGACATTTTGGTCCGCGTTTCGGTAAGCCCTCGATTTAGCGTTACTTCATTATTTTTGGTTTTTGTTTTTTTTTTTTTTTTGACCACAATTTTAAACCAAATCATGTGTAATTTGACATTTAGAGTTCAGTATACCTCCTAATTCTCCGTATTTCAAAACCAATCATGAGTAACTTGACGTTCTCAGTTCTGACCTGACAAAATCTCTCTTATATATTGACCACATATATAACGGCATTCCAAATTTTAGGTATTTTGAGTATCTTTCCCTCAAAAATGTTGGTAATTCCTAATTTTAAATATTTTTAAGGGTGACAGACAGAGTTTTTAAGAGTGACAGACAAAGTTATTATTTGGTATTTTGTTTCTCAGTGGGTGAACTGAGCTGTAGCAATTACCCTCACCACGGATTTTTTTAAAAGACATACCATAGTATGTAGTGTATACTAAGTTTGTCATTCCGCTTGTAACTACTCGAAATATACATTTTATACCTCACAAAATATATATATTCTTGATCAGCATAAAATTCTATGTCGATGTAGCGATGTCCGTCCGATGTCTAACCGTCTGTGGAAATCACTCTAGCTTCTGAAAGAAATGAAGTAAGTTGATATAATTTTACTGAAATGTATATTGTGTCTGCAGGAATTTTGGTATTGAAAATGGGCCATGTAGGTGCTAATCTAGTTCATAGTTCAGTACACCATTTGTTAAAAGTATGAGTGATATTATATATTTTATGTCACTCATACGCAGAGTTTTCAAACAAACGACCAGAGTCCAGGGAACTAGTTCGTTCGATCGAACTATATTGGAACAACTTTAGTGCAAAATGCCACAAAATGTGCCTTGGGGTGTTGGGATAGATATGGAATAATGAAATTTGCTATCGAGGTGGAGTGAAGGAGGTGGTTTTGAACATGTGTAGTCAAACTGTATGAAAAGTATGATCATATATTTGGGACTGGGTCTGGGATTCTGAAATTTGATGTGTGATAATTTGATAAAAAATTATGTAACACCTCAAAATATTGATCCCAGACATAGGAAACTTTATATGGATTTTCCTATCTCGCCGAACTCAGTCGATCAAGCTATGTATGTCCGTCTGTCTTTCCATGTAAAATTGTAATCACTCTAAATGTCGCAATTATGATCCGCTCCTCAGGAAAAATTTATAGAGGTGGGGATAAGGCCAGAATAGAAGCCAATTGTTTCGGGAGATGATGGCAAAATAGTTATGGGACAAAATGGACCAAAAACATTTTTTTTATACCCTACACCACAAGGTGGTCAGGGTATTTATTATGTCTTTGTGCATTTGTTTGTAACAGGCAAAAGGAAACGAGATAGACCCATAGTTCCTTTTGATGATCTGCATAGAATCGCTTTCTGAGTTGATTTATGCATGTCAGTCCGACTGTCCGTCCGTCCGTCTGTCCATGTATTCTTGTGAACAAAATGCAGGTCGCATTTATGATCCGATTGAGATGAAATTTTGCAAACAACATTTGTTTGGCCCAAGGACGAACCCTATTGAAATTGGAGATAATCGGTAAAAAGTTAGATATAGCTCCCATATATATCTTCGTCCGTTTGGCCTTTTATTGTGCACCAAACGTGTAATATCAGCCCGAATAGTATGGAATTTTGCACATACAACCAAATTAGGCCTGAAAATAAGTATGCCAAATTTGATCGAAATCGGTTCAGATATAGCTATAGCTCCCATATATATTGTTCATCCGATTTGTTATTTTTGTCCTCCGCAGCCGTAATATGCACTCTGTAACAACAATATTTGGGGAAATATATCAAATGCAGCTCTGAAATACCTTTGCTAAATTTTATCGAGATCGGTTCAGATTTGGATATAG